CAAATGTTTATAAAAAATCCTTACTAGGCACTTTTTTTCAATCTGTGAACAAACAAATTACGACAGATATAAATGTGTTATTTAAATGTAAATAAATAATCAATTTCCAGATGTTCATAGCATAACTAGCTCAATAACAACCGAACTATGATCTTTTTTCCAGTACATGTTCAAAAATATTAAATCGTACTAAAACTACATGCATGGAGATTTTATATGAAGACAAAGAACAGATAATTATTTGTAAATTGTAAGAAATTTCTGCAAGATAATTCAGAAATTTGTGTAATCAATTCTAGAAGCTTTGAACAATTACATCAAGAAAAGTAATCAATAAGGAAATAATCAGCTGAGGTTATTGACAAAAAGCATACATGTCACAAAACTGAAATGATACTACCGGTATATATTTTGCATAATGTAGTACATCAGGAGGCTTTCCATAAATAAACAGCTGACATGTATTGTGGGGTGAACATGAAGCTATTATGAGATAGTGATAGAGGCTTGCATTCACCTAACTGCTAATTAAGACACATTTTATGTAGCTTCCCCAAGCACACAAAGCTAATATGAGATATTGATAGAGGCTTGCATTGATCAAACTGCTACTTAGACACATTTTAAGAAGCTTCCCCAAGCACAAAGCTAATATGAGATCATGTTATGAGGATTGTATTCACCACGCAGCTCATGAAGTCATTTATTATGGAAATCAACCACAAAGCCATATTAATTATGGTATTTAACTCATGTATGATGTCATACTGTATACAGAAAAATGTTTGCCCAGTTAAATTTTTGCCCTTATTATTAACCCTTTCACCCCTATGTAACTTTAGTAGACTCTACCATGCATTGATCTGGATGAGTCCAGTATGGTCTACAGTGGTGAAAGGGTTAATATTTTATTCACCCTGCACATTTAATTACTATGTATATTATTTTGTTTACAAATGTCTGATGTAGTGATGAACTCGCTCTCATTACAGAGGTCGAAAAACACGAAAATTAAACTGCAGCGAAAATTTCCCAGTATACCTTATTCTCACAATTATTGATGTATTTAAAAAAGTTTTGACAAGAATAATTTCGCGATTATATTGACAATATTAACTTGCAACATATTATCTTTTTTCAAATTTATGCTAGCACCAATATTTCTATAGTAACAATGAGAACTTGCATCACCATGGTGATAAGATAAATTGAAACTCGATAAAACTTCCACCTGATTAAGAAACATATCACAATACATTTATATACATATACAATGTAGTTTATAACCTGACGGAACATTGTTGTCAAAAAATCATTTTCTAAGAAAAGAATCAACATTTCAAAAAAAAAAAATCTAAAAAATATCAGATGGAATTCCAGATAACTTCTGGATTAGATGACCCAATCATCACATTCTGTAGCAATGGTACTGATTTCTCTGATTTTCTCTGAGGACACTTTTGATGGGTGTTGCAGAGAAAATCTACAGCGACAACTAATATGTTAAAAGAGAGAGCCACAAAGGATGGTTAATCGTTCTGAGCAACATTTGTTGATGATACATACATGATTTCCAATGGAAAGGGCTGTGCAAGTGAAGCATTTGCTGTTGTATTTAAAGTTGGATTAGATCACAACAAATTTGGGTTCTGAATACATCTATTGTTTAATACAAAATGTAATAGCCATCATGACTTTTGAAATGCATCACTCAAAGTTACCCTCTCCTCGAGCAAAACCCAGAAACCAAGTTCAAACTTTGTTTAATTTGTTCCGAAGTTAGTATGGAACAAAATTCAATGTATGTAAAAGTGACCTTGACCTTTGATGAATCATTTCCAAAATCACAAGTTTTAACTTTCCAAAGGTCAAACCACATATTAGGTCTGAGTTTGGTGTAATCAATTGTTCTTTAGGTAGGATCTGGAGAAGAAAATGATATAACAGTGACATGGACCTGTCCCGAATGATGCACAAAACAAAAGGAGTTCTTCATGTACCAGGTGTGATTTTGTATGATCATCAATTCTAAAGTAAGCATTAATCTGGACAGGTAATTGATTATGTAATCAATAAGGGTTCTCCCATTATCACTTGGAACAAAGGTTTGGTATGGTTTGTTTGTGTTTTACATCCTATTAACAGCTATGGTCATTTGAGGACGTGCAAGGTTCTGGTGGTGGAGGAAAGCCGGAGTTCCTGGGGAAAAACCACCGACCTACGGCCAGTACCTAGCAACGTACTGCCCCACTTAGGCCTCAAACCCGCAACCTAGTGGTGGAGGGCTGGTGGTAGCAGAATGTCAGACTTAACCACTTGGCCAACGCAGCAGAGGTAAAGGTAGCCGGATTATCTAGTCTCAACTGTACTTTATAAGTAGATGGAATGGAAATTGTTTTGTTTTTTATACCTGAAGTTAAACCATTTGACATAGCATGTATAAATATTTTTTGAACATGTCAAATACTGCCATTTTAAGAAGTGAATATAATAAAAAAAATCTGCTCTGTGGAATGTATAAAGACAGTGAGGTTTGGGTGTCAGTACAAAATTTAAATCATCAAAATATCAATTTGTTTCAACATTCAAAATATTTGGTACAATTAAGTGTTCAGAATGAAATGAGATGTTTGTACATATGAGAAAAAAGTGTAATTCTGACACATTTCAACATCCCACTGTGATTCATAGCACCATGTAGTCTCTCTCAACATCACAGCAACCACTCTTTACATTGCATAGTCTCTCAACATTGCCAGGTATCTCAAAATCACAGCAGTCTGTCTCAACATTGTCAGGTATCTCAAAATCACAGCAGTCTCTCAACATTGTCAGATATCTCAAAATCACAGCAGTCTCTCAACATTGTCAGGTATCTCAAAATCACAGCAGTCTCTCTCAACATTGTCAGGTCTCTCAAAATCACAGCGGTCTCTCTCAAAATCACAGCAGCCTGTCTCAACATTGTCAGGTATCTCAAAATCACAGCAGTCTGTCTCAACATTGTCAGGTATCTCAAAATCTCAGCAGCCTCTCTCAACATTGTCAGGTATCTCAAAATCTCAGCAGCCTCTCTCAACATTGTCAGGTATCTCAAAATCTCAGCAGCCTCTCTCAACATTGTCAGGTATCTCAAAATCTCAGCAGCCTCTCTCAACATTGTCAGGTATCTCAAAATCTCAGCAGCCTCTCTCAACATTGTCAGGTATCTCAAAATCTCAGCAGCCTCTCTCAACATTGTCAGGTATCTCAAAATCTCAGCAGCCTCTCTCAACATTGTCAGGTATCTCAAAATCTCAGCAGCCTCTCTCAACATTGTCAGGTATCTCAAAATCTCAGCAGCCTCTCTCAACATTGTCAGGTATCTCAAAATCTCAGCAGCCTCTCTCAACATTGTCAGGTATCTCAACATCACAGCAGCCTCTCTCAACATTGTCAGGTATCTCAACATCTCAGCAGCCTCTCTCAACATTGTCTTGTCTCTCAACATCATAGCAATCTCAAAATAATAAGGTTTCTCGACATTACACCTGTCTCTCTCAATAGTCTCTCAATATCTTACGTATGACAGTCTCTAATTATTCCAAGAGTTAATTTCAACATCACAGCCATCTTAAGGCAGAGTATCTTGATAACTGTCACACACTTCTTTTTACAGCTTAACACTTTCATACCTTTGTAACTTTATGAGACTCTACCATGTATCGATCTGGATGAGTCCATTATGGTCTACAGTGGTAAAAGGGTTAAATATCATATCATATCATAACAGAATATCACTACTGAGACATTCATATAAAAGCGACACTCATATAAAATATATACACTCACATTCCAAATTATAATTGCAGCATTAAAGCACAACCTTTTCCCAATATATAAGTTACTATCTCATTAAAATATATATTACATATTTGGTAAAAAATGTATTAAAAAATATTTCATGGTACAAAGTAGTGCACATAATAATTGTTGGGACACACAATGGTGATAAAATGAACAGATCTGTGTTTACAACAGTGTACAGATCATGGGTGTCAGATAATAACTTTTCCAAGTATTAATACTCTTTTGAATCTAAGAGAACAATCTCAGAGCCATCAGATGTCTTGTCGCAAACTTCGAGCTGAAGGTGCAGTATTATCTCCCTTGGTCTGTTTATTACCTCCCTTGGTCTTTTTGGTATATAACCTCCATTGTTTTATGATGTTTCTCATAAATAAAACACTTATCTAAGATTCATCCCAACAAAGTAATGACTTTAAAATACTGCTATGTTCAAGCCCAAGTTTTTTATATTCGGAATATCTTAATGATTTGTCACAGGAGAAAAAGAAAAATGCAACGGCCTGACTGTGATTCGAACCCAGGACCCTCTGAACTGTAGAAGAACTCTCTACAAATTGAGCTACCTGGTCCCTGATGAATGACAGTCTAGTTGCACTACATTCTTCCCTCCTTTTTGTAAATCTTTGCTCCAGAAGACACAACTATTTACACCCCTGGTTCAGGTATCCCGTTGCCGAACATTCAAACAGTGCTAGCCAGACCAGCATTTGAAACCGGGACTATCCAAACTCTAGATGGACACTCTACGAGATGAGCTACTTCGTCACTGATGATCAACCCAGTCCAGTTCCCCTACACTGTTCCCTAACTTTTTCCAATCATATTTATTTCAAGGTATTAAACTTTACAAAAATATATGTATTTCTTTTCAAAAACAAATTGTTAATTAATAAATATTGAGATTCTTTGTGAAGTTAAATTGTGTAACAGGAGGGGAAAATACTGCCTTATTGGCAAACTAGCTTTTCCAGCGATGCAGTATAACCCGGGACACCGCTCACTAGTTCAGCACCGCGAGTGTGGTCAGTAGTTGGTAAGGTGACCACCAACACATTACAATATATTCGAAAATACCAAACATGAAAAATCAAGTTAATGTTATGATAAGCTAACCAATGGTTGAACATCTGGGCCCTTCAGCTAACCCTTTAGGACAGGAGAGCTTCATTATACCATGGTACCAAAATATCTACTTTCTGTGTGGTCAGGATTCTTCTTCCTCTTCCAGTTTTACTGATTGCTGTGAATTGAAAATAGTTCAAATCAAAAAACTTTATCCATAATTTTCAATCAATCAGTTAAAACACAATCAATCAAATTCTGAAAATATTTCAAATAAGAACTTAACTTCATTAACAGATTTCAATCAATCAGATGAAACAAAATTTAACTTATGTTTACTTTCAAAGCTGTGAAAATATAGGTTAAATAAGTAGACATTTATTTTTTATTTTTATGCATATAAATGAGCGAATTTCTGACATAAGGCATCTTCATGCAAAAATGAATGCTTTTCTGTGAATGGTGGATAAATGGCCAAATATGGCACCCATCCTTTGGAATCAAGGGTGTCGATGGACAGACAGACATTGTGATAATAATTATAAAAGGACGTGAGATCTCCGACGCGAGGCCCTAATAAAGCCTGTCTATCTACGTCAGCGCCATTTGGAATGGACCAAATTAAGAAAATCATTAAAATTCACAATTAAAGCCACATGTTTTGAAATTAACCAGTGAAACTTCATCATGCATGTTTTGCAATTGTTCACTAAAATGACATATATTATAGTGTGACTTAGTAATTAAATCAACAAATATTGCTTCATATTTTGGATTCAAGATGACCAACCCATGACAATACATATCACAATATTTGTAATTCGTATCTTTATAGTAAAAACAATAATGCAAATATCTGGTAAATTATAAGCTAACTATTAATTTTTGAAGGCTCAGGTTTTCCAAATGCCCATTAAACACTGTTCGCAGGAATGAGACAGGTCTGAAGATGTTAGGTGTGGATACTTACAGGAAGAACACGCGACTTGGTTTCTATCGGTAGAGTCCAGGAACAGATAGCTGCTATCAATCCTAACGACCCGTACACCCATACAGCTGCGGACAATGACTGGTCGAGAAGTACCTGTAACAGAGAAACAACATCTACTGATAAAACAATCTATCCTTCGTACCTGACAAATATGTGTGAAAGTTGTTGATCAACTTATTTAATTAGTATTCATTTCAAAATAATCGACATACATGCATAATTCAACCAACGGTTTAAGATACACAGATAAGGAGTTATGCGAGTTGTGCTTAAAATAGCAATACTATCAAGAGTCCTGTTCAATTGATCACATTTTCAAAGTCTATGTAAACATCACACATTGACAGTTCATATAGTTTGTTTTTAGCTGTAGTTCAAAGTATGATATTTTATAATAAAATGAACTATTTTTTCTATAGGAAATCTGCTTTGAAATCATTTTAATTTGGAGAAAAAAATTATTTGAATATTTCAGATCGAGACACAACTTACCTGAGCAACAAATGGTGTTAACATTGCACCGACTCTGGCCCAGGCCGAGGCTGTCCCTATTCCCAGGGTCCTAACTGTGGTGGGGTACACCTGTTAATTTAGATAGTGGATATTATCATTTGCATGTCGAACACAACTTATTACATGAACTTTCTGAACATAACAACAAGGATGCTAATTCACATTCCACCATTCCACCGTGTCCCCATTTTATGGTATGCAGAAATATTTGTTGCTGTATTTATCCCAAATTTACCAAAATGACAAATAATCTTAGATAATTAAAAGTACACTATAGAGATCTTTGTAATTCTAACTTCAATCAGTGAAGAATCAGATTCTGAAAATCTCGAACTAATATGGAGTAAACCCTTATAGTCTAAGTGGAGGTAAGTCTTCCATTTTGCTAGTTTCCATTTTACTTTGCTATTATGCTTCTTTGAACTTTAATTCTCAAATTTCATGACTATTTTTGAACAGGTTTTCTTTAAAATAACAAACACAAAATAAATATGAAGTTGCCTTTTAGTTTCTTACAGGACAAATAGATAACAATTGTTGGTGTTTGTGCCGATGCTCAATAAGTATGGGTGGGCTTACTACCAGACATGTGTTCATTGCTGAAAAGAAATCTAATCAGACTTTAAGCAGCTGGGTCTGAAAGTATTTACACAGGCAGACAAGCATGAACATGAATCGAGCCTGGTGTTCATCATCTGACAAGCTCAATAAATCATCAATGCAAATTTCCAAAATGTGATTTTTGAGAAATATCTTTACAAAAATTAAATCAACAAATATTTTTTGGTGTTTATTGTCTTCTAATGAGTCTCTATGATTCCTTATACATATAACTTTCCATCTTTTGGAAAATGTTTTGAGTTTAAAGTTTTGTGTTCAGTTGTCATTAAGCTAACCAGGCCTTCAGCATCTAGGCCCTGACCTCACCTCTGCAGTGTAGATGTAGACAAAGTTGAAGTTTGCGGCGGAGAAGCCGCGGACGAGTAACATGATGCCAGTGAGGAGGTGTTGCGGCATGTTAATCTGTAGTAAAATAAAAAAGACTGCACATCCCGTCAAATCTATCGCTCCGGTCTTACGTCGCCCGATGATATCAAACAGAATCATGTTTACAGGAAGACCTGGAGAAAGAATACACAATTATGCAACCAGGATAATTTTTGTCTGTCATATTCATCTTACAAAAAACCTAAACAAATATCATACATGATTGAAATTTAAAATATTATTGAACAGATACATCGAAAGAATTAATAAGCCAATAGTTCCCCCAACCCCATCTTAAAAACTAACATCAATAGGGGAACCTGTGACCCAGTGGTGGAGGGCTAGTGATCAAAGACGGTCAGATACCTTAACAAATAATGGTGCATGGAATAATGGCCACAGCAGCCCGTAGAAGGAGTTGCATGTTGTTCCCGTTTATAAGGGTTTATAGATAACATGTATTTTTAGCCTACAGTTTGACTGGTTGTTGGGTTGGTCAAAGTTAATTGTTCATCTGCCCGCTGGGTTTCATGTTTAATATTTATGTAACCGACATGCGTTCATACTGGCATAAACATTTTAAAAACGCTATTAAATCTATATATTTACATTTTTACTATAGAAAAATTATTTAAATTTTATTCATTTGTTCTTTAATAATTTATTTATTTATTGCGTTTAGTTTATGCCTTCATACGACATTGGCAGAATAATTCACCAAATTTTCCAAGTATATACCAGAGGTATTACATATTCAGGAATTCATCAGAAAACAAAAAAAATTGACTTGCATATACTAGAAAATGTTCGTTGTAAAACATTCATGTTCCCCTACTCCTGCTACGATGGACATGGAGCTGAATGGAAAGTCTAACAGACGAAACAGTGCTAAATAGGAAGTCAAATCAAGAAGTCATGCAGATGGACAGACAGACTGATTGAGGGACAGACAGACAGATAGACAGACAGACTGATTGAGGGAAGGATAAGCAGAACCTGTAAACACTTGAAATGCCCCCTCCGCTATATAATGTGGCAGGGGCATACACATTTTTTTCATAAAACTTACAAATGAATTCACCAATCGTTGATATGATCATTGTGATGTAGTCATCGTATTCCAGAAGGTTACAGGAACAGTTCTCTCCCCCTGTTCACAAAAACAATTTCACATTTCGTGAGACTCTTTTAAATAATCATTACCTCAATGTACTAAAACAATAGGTTGATTTAAATACAAATGTACACAAAACATGTTGCAAATAATCTTGTCTGAATTCAAATACTAAGAGGTTTGTTTTTTCTATAAATGCCACTTTCTCGTTTTTAATTACATATTGACAAAAACAAAATCACTTGGAGGAATATTTCTGAGACAATAATGATGTAAAATTTATTTCTGACAAAACAACCACATTGTTTACCATCATAATTGAAAAATCCAGTGAAACCTGTATAAACAGAACATGGCTGAACAGATCCTTTTTTTTCAATAAAAGCAGGATTTTGAATTAAGCAGGTTCCATTTACACAGAAAGACATACTGCAGGACCTATTTTTAAAGTCTGTTTTAGTCAGGTCTCTGAATACAGAGATCAGTTCAGAAAGATTTCAGTATTATAGTTAACTCTTTCACCCCTACATATCTAAACTGGACTTACCCACTCATTGATTTGGTAACGTTCAAATGTGATTTTAGTGGTGAATGAGTTTGAGAAACACACCTTCATTTTTAGCGTTGTGGACTTGAAGTATTTCCGCACTAGCCAGCACCATGCCATAATAGGAAAACGCTGTGACGAACCAGAGCACCCAAAGCTGGAGGGTCGTTTTCCTGTACATGGGAGAGAACAGGTCACTCATCTTCCCTTGCTGTGTCTGTAGCAAAAATGTTTAAAGATTAAAAAAAAAAAAAAAAAAAAAAGGGGGTTTTTTTTTTTTTTAAAAAAAAAAAAAAAAAAAAAAGAGGTGTTTTTCATTTTTTGCACAAGAACAATGTCTCCGATTATTAGCCAATGTGCATATGTGGCAACCTTGTACACCATTCAGCCCTGAAACAACAATGTGCATACATGTATTTGCCGATTTTGATTGGGTTGGTTGTGCAAAGTTAGCACTTATTTGAGCATTAAACTGGAAGTGAAGCTTACATCCCTTACAAGCTTACATTATGATACATGGATACATGTGATGACTACAGAACTTGGGGCTACATTCGCGTATCCCGGTTGAAACGGTACGTGTGGCGCAGAAATTTTCCACGATAAACGAACACACTTGGACCGTTCTCTAAGCAGAGCTAAAAATGAACAGTTTCGGAGAATAAAAAACAGTGTTTCAAGAATATTATGACCTTTCATCCGTCCACTGAATTACATAACGTATCTTAAAAACTACATGTGTCTTGACATTGTTTTAGACAGAAATAATGCAAACTGGCAATAGTCAGCATTTTAGTTTCTGTCAGGCACGTCTGGACCCCTCAATCTACATGTGCCAAATTTTCCTGAGGTCAGCCTCAGTCCAGATCTGTGCCTGTCGTTTTCTTTACAGGTTCAACCGATTCAACCGGATACGCGAATGTACCCTTGTTGTCCCACAGAGAGAGTTTCCCAACCTTACTAATGTACTAAAGGTCAAGTATAGCACTGTATAATGTTTAAGATATAACTAAATGAATATAGATGATTATTTCTCCAACACTTTACAGATACATTTTCACTTTTGATAGCGAAAATATTAATCTTTCCCAACCTTGGGGTCGAAACAAAAAATATCTCAATCCAAAGTGTAAGATACTTAATTATATATATCTAGCCCAAGGCTTTGCTGACAGCAAGACTATTAAGAATCTTACTTCGAGAGTTAAGAGTTTTCTGTCATACTCCTAAAGTGGGGGAGGATTACTTTTTCTCCCACGTCGAATACAAGTGGTATTTCATTGCATTGTTGATGTGACATTAATGCATTGTTGACGTGATGTAATACCAAATGACAAGGGAATCCCCCCGCTTTTCCCCCCCAAGACAGAAACATCTTTCCCTGACTGAAAGTGTGGATATTTGAATTTTATCACTCGGCCATTAAAACCTAATTGTGCTAAACTTCAAACATCTTATCCTGAGATTGACATTTCCCTGCTGGCATTACACAGCAGTGATGGATTCTACTTAGTCCGTTATAGAACATAATCGCAGGCTCCAAAATTCTGATCGGCTGCCTATTTAATTATGGTCAGCTATCGACTGCTCTATAAGACACAGGGATTTGTGAACGAAATCTCGAAACAGCGATTGTGAAAGTGTTACATGTTTGTTGAAGAAAATATTTGTACCTATATTTCAGTTGATTCATTTCTCACTCACTTGAGCAGATGCCTTGACCAAACTCGATACATTATGGAAGCTACATCATTTTATTCAATTGTCAGTTTTAGAGGACTAGATTCTACCAATCAATAAAACTGACCACAGGGGAGCTGCAGACCAGTCGACCTTCCGGTATGGTGGCACTGTTTGTCCTGGCAGCCTTCTCCAGCACTTTGATGGCCTCTTCCCTCCTGCCTGCTGCCACTAGGTACCTGGCCGACTCTGGCAGGAACTACACAAACACACACCAACTTAGTTCAACAAGTCAAAGTCAGCTTGAATTATGTTCAGTAAGAATCTTTTAAGAACTATAAACAGGTACATCAATAAGGAAATTTTCACTGGCCACCATATTTTATCCATCTTGGTACCCTCAAATGAAACTTTTCCTGACAAACTGGTATGTTCCCTTGGAATGTCACATTCCATTTAGTAGATCACCTTGATCATATTGGCACAACTGAAATGTTCTGCTAATTGGAACACGCTGCTTTATTTGTTCTAATGCCGACAGAAATTAAGATCCCTGATTGTACTGACCTTCATGACTATACAGATGATAAAACTGGGTATTGCGGAGATGAAGAGGAGCCACCTCCAGCCGAGGCTAGGGAGAACAATGGCAGCAACGATGATCTCAAACGATGTCCCCATCGCCCAGCTTATCTGTGATCACAAAAGGATTAAGATTACAACTCTTAGCACAGAAAATCTGACAGCTAAAAAAGTTTAAGGTACATTAATATCAGCATTGTGACCAGCTTACCTGTGTTAAATTCAGCAGTTTGGCCCTGTGTTTTGATGGTAGATATTCTGTCAGTATTGCAAATCTGAAGTAAAAAAGAAACACCCAAAATTGTCATACGTCTTTATCGTTCAGTATATAACAGTATATCTTAGTCCGCTAAAACGGCCATAATTGCAGGCTCTTAAATGCTGCCCAATGACCTGTCAGAATGTTGGAGCCTGCAGTTACGGTCAGTGTTAGCAGACCTAAAGTATATATGTACAGCTGAATGATTGTAAACAGCTGTCAAATGCTGGGGTGAATATGGGTGATCTCCATAGCCTAAAATCCTTTCTCTTCCAATCTGAACTCTGTGCAACTCTCTCACTTCCATCTTATATACTAAACCCTGTCAGGTGAAATGGGCAAGCTGACCTGATGTGACCTATTGACATAACAACATCTGACCAGTTGGGCAACTTGACAAATAAACGATAATCCTGATACATGTTAACTTTTTTAAAACAGTCAGTAAGGAGCCAACCTTGTGTAATATACAGATAGAGACATTCAATAGAACCCCAGAGTTGTGTAGCCATGGGTGACCATTGGCTCGGGTGTCCCGCAAATCTACTCCATTACAGAGTAATAAAACCCCAACCTGTAAACAGCAGCCGTGAATTTGATAAGAGGCTGACAATACACTATCAGTTGTGCTGTGATAAACCTCAATTGGGTAATGTTGGGGAAACATGGGCAAATGAGAACCCTATCTTATTACATATGTGCTTAGAGTCTGAGAATTATAATGTAGAACAATCAACACAATGATAATCAATACATATATTATATACTTACGACTGTGGGGACCCAGCTAAACCTCCTCCAACTAAGCTCCTGAGTATTAGGATCCAAATGTAGGAGGGACTGAAGGTAGTCAGCAGTCCAAAGTAGCCAATCCACAGGCTTACCATGTATAATGTCTACAAAAAACGAAGGTCAAAGGTCAAAAGCTAACCAATCCACAGGCTTACCATGTGCAACGTCTACAAAATGCAGAGGTCAAAGGACAACAGTTAGCCAATCCACAGGCTTACCATGTATAATGTCTACAAAATAAAGAGGTCAAAGGTCAAAAGCTAGCCAATCCACAGGCTTACCATGTGCAATGTCTACAAAATGCAGAGGTCAAAGGACAACAGTTAGCCAATCGATGGGCTTAATCATCATGTACAAAGAGGTCAAATGTTAAAAGTTAGTCAATTTGCAGATTTGCCGTGTAAAATATCAACAAAATACAGAGGTTGAAGGTTAAAACAAATTTAGCTGCATAAAGAACCATACGAAACAACGTGAATTTGCATTTGAATTTATACCTTATAAGTTTCAAATTGAACAGATACCCAATAGTTCAAATTGGAATCGGCAAATTCAATCTCTGTCTGTGATAGTATATATATGTGAAACATCTGTCTGTGATAGTATATACATGTGAAACATCTGTCTGTGATAGTATATACATGTGAAACATCTGTCTGTGATAGTATATACATGTGAAACATCTGTCTGTGATAGTATATACATGTGAAACATCTGTCTGTGATAGTATATACATGTGAAACATCTGTCTGTGATAGTATATACATGTGAAACATCTGTCTGTGATAGTATATACATGTGAAACATCTGTCTGTGATAGTATATACATGTGAAACATCTGTCTGTGATAGTATATACATGTGAAACATCTGTCTGTGATAGTATATACATGTGAAACATCTGTCTGTGATAGTATATACATGTGAAACATCTGTCTGTGATAGTATATACATGTGAAACATCTGTCTGTGATAGTATATACATGTGAAACATCTGTCTGTGATAGTATATACATGTGAAACATCTGTCTGTGATAGTATATACATGTGAAACATCTGTCTGTGATAGTATATACATGTGAAACATCTGTCTGTGATAGTATATACATGTGAAACATCTGTCTGTGATAGTATATACATGTGAAACATCTGTCTGTGATAGTATATACATGTGAAACATCTGTCTGTGATAGTATATACATGTGAAACATCTGTCTGTGATAGTATATACATGTGAAACATCTGTCTGTGATAGTATATACATGTGAAACATCTGTCTGTGATAGTATATACATGTGAAACATCTGTCTGTGATAGTATATACATGTGAAACATCTGTCTGTGATAGTATATACATGTGAAACATCTGTCTGTGATAGTATATACATGTGAAACATCTGTCTGTGATAGTATATACATGTGAAACATCTGTCTGTGATAGTATATACATGTGAAACATCTGTCTGTGATAGTATATACATGTGAAACATCTGTCTGTGATAGTATATACATGTGAAACATCTGTCTGTGATAGTATATACATGTGAAACATCTGTCTGTGATAGTATATACATGTGAAACATCTGTCTGTGATAGTATATACATGTGAAACATCTGTCTGTGATAGTATATACATGTGAAACATCTGTCTGTGATAGTATATACATGTGAAACATCTGTCTGTGATAGTATATACATGTGAAACATCTGTCTGTGATAGTATATACATGTGAAACATCTGTCTGTGATAGTATATACATGTGAAACATCTGTCTGTGATAGTATATACATGTGAAACATCTGTCTGTGATAGTATATACATGTGAAACATCTGTCTGTGATAGTATATACATGTGAAACATCTGTCTGTGATAGTATATACATGTGAAACATCTGTCTGTGATAGTATATACATGTGAAACATCTGTCTGTGATAGTATATACATGTGAAACATCTGTCTGTGATAGTATATACATGTGAAACATCTGTCTGTGATAGTATATATATATGTGAAACATCTGTCTGTGATAGTATATACATGTCAAACATCTGTCTGTGATAGTATATACATGTGTAACATCTGTCTGTGATAGTATATACATGTGAAACATCTGTCTGTGATAGTATATACATGTGTAACTATTGGCCAACAAAAAACAGAACTCAAAAGTTAAAAGTTTGCCATTCTGCATTGATTACCATTTATAATTTCTACAAAATACAGAGGCTAAAATTTGAAAGTAGCCAATCAACAGCCTTAGTAATTATAATATAACAAAAACCTCAAAGGTCAAAGGCATAAAAATAGCAAAACAACAGGCTTACCATGCAATAACTCCACAAATTAAAATATTTAGGCCCAGAATTGTAAATCCTCAGACTCATGCGCTAAATGTACATTTTATACAACATCAAACATAGCCCATCTAGTCTTACCATATAAAACATATAATACTGCCAAATAACTGAGGTCAAAGATTGTGAATAGGTAATATCTTCTGTACGACAGGCAAACAGCTGTCCGATAAATAAAGAGCCTACAGTCTGTTAATTAAGTACTCTGAGGAACAATGATTGATGACTCATGGAGAACCATGAAATATAGACGATATGGATGTAAAACTTTGAAGTACAAGTACCTTCCTTTCCGAAAATATTTATTTAGATTTACAATTGGGCGTAAAAAGATGGAACTTTTTAAATAAAGATGAAATTCACAAAATAATTTAGAGTTATTATCGTATGCATTTCTTGGCGGGGATTTTCTGTGTAATTGAAGGTGAGATCGAATTCCTTCTCTTTCTCAGTACATTTTGTATAATGCTATATAAATTAAAGTGAAAGGACTTATAATGTCTGGTTTGGGCCATTTTTGGCCCCCAAATCCATCAAAATTAAAAATCTGCAATAGAACTTTCAAACGACTGTTTCTTTAATTTTGAATACTTCCCCAGTACTATTATGTAAACATTTATTTGTGTTTTCAATTTTGGCTGCCATGGTAACCAGGTCATATTTGCATAAATTATTGAAATTTGATTATTCAGTCAATTTTGACAGGTTTTCACCTAGTTTTTCTCTTAGCTACATGTACCATAGAGCGCACTCTTGAACAAACTTTATATTTCTCCTAAAGATGTATTACATGTGCATACACATTATCCTTTGATATTAAGTTTGTTCAAACATGCGCTCTATAGTTTCTAGGAGAAAAACTGTACAAAATATCACAATATTCACTGAATATTCATTTTTTTCTAATTTATGTAAATTTGAACTTGTTACCATGGCAACAATAATAAATATTTTCAAAAAAGTATTTGGAAAGTATTCAAAATTCAAGAAACAGTCATTTCAAAGTTCATTTAATGGTTTTGAATTTTGATGCATTTGGGGGCCAAAACAGGCCCAAACCATACATAGTCCTATACCGATGATTAGCCATGATATCATGACCCTCCTTCCATTTACCTTCTCCATTACCACCAACATACATGTATTTAAAGGTCCCTGTTTATTGCTTAAGAATTCCTTCATAAGTTTCCCTCAATTTATCGCCACACCCCTTATAACGCCAAAACTTCTCGGAACATATGGCGACAGTATAAGGAGGTTTTACTGTGTTGAACAACATGACACATTACGGCACTGCTAACATTGTTTGTATGTACAAAGATGTAAGAAAATTGTTGATCACCTCCAGAAAGTATTTTATTTAAATTCAAAGAAAATGAATTAAAACAGGTTGTTACCATATATTAACATTTGTGCTGCAGAGTTACTAGGTAAACACAATAAATTATGCTTAGGGTAATCAGACCTGAGCGAAAAGGAACAGTAATACAAAGTACAAACGCAACCAAAAACTGAACAAACAAGCTTAAGCTGGAAGTGGAAGTCACGTTTGACTCTTGTTAAGAATTTCTGGGCGCAAGTTGCTTAAATCAGTTCACTTCATGTACGAAAGGCCGACACTCAAAACAATGCAACTCCCAAATAACTTAAGAATTTAAGAGCAAATCATTTCTTTGGTTTAATAATGAGCAGAAACAAATCCGTCTTTGCTCAGATGGTAAAGTGGAAGTGGAATTTGTAGCAACACCTTCATCACAACAAATGCAGGTACAATAGCCATAAAAAGAAATGGCTGTTTTGTTCTGTCGTTAACATTTCATTGTTCTTTCAAAGTGCTTGTCAGATCTGGCACTGCAATCATGTGATTTGTTTTTACAATGTAACCCCCATTGACAGTTATGATGGACAGAATGTATATTGTTCTTGAAATTGTCATTCACCAATTTCTTTAATGGTGATTCTTGCACAAGAAACATACTTTACATCAATCATTTAGACAACACTCAGCCTCACTTGAATCCAATCTGAACCAACAGTCACCATTTAATACACACTTTTCTGTATGATATGGCATATGATATAACCTAACAAGAGGCCCAATGGGTCTGAATCCCTCACCTGGTACAGTATTAATCTCACACCAGTAACCTAACAAGAGGCCCAATGGGCCTGAATTCCTCACCTGGTACAGTATTAATCTCACACCAGTAACCTTCTATGTGGACCAATGTTGGGTATTCAGAAGAAGTTGTTTGAAGATTAGTAAAGCCCTGTGACCTTGAAAGGGGGTCATGATCAAGGTCATTCATCTGAACAATTTTTGTCACCCTTCATCTCAGTTTTGTACTGGGCATATATAATCATCCTAAGCCTTTTGATAATTAAGAAGTTGTTTAAAGATAAGGCCCTTCAGGCAAGGTGAGCTTACAAAAATTATGTTTCCATTGGAATATAAAAAGTGTCAGTTTTAAAATTGACTGATATTACTTTTAATATATCCCACTGTAATAAATTTCAATTCCAAAAAGTTGGTCAGGGGGCTCCTCAGTGGGTAGCACTCTCGCCTTTCACCAAGGTGGCCCCCAGTTTGATTCCCTGATCAGACTTCAAAAGGTTTCCAATAGCTACATTTTGTATCTCTATATATACCTGTACGCTTTCCGTTAAGTCTCGGACCCTCATACCTTTGTAGGTATCACATTTCTGGCTTTGAAAATAAGCCCAGGATTCCTTACTAAAATAGGAAATAAGCCATGGCTTATTATCATAATAGTATCATTGTGGTCGGGTGGAGCAAAGGATAGAGCACTTGCCTTTCACCAAGGCAGCCAGGGTTTGATTCCCCGATCGGACATGAAAAGGTATGGGGCTACCTGCCCGACCATGTGAGTTTTCTCTGGGCCAACAAGAGTGATTACCGGTAATATAAGTTGAAATCACTTGTTTCATAATTGTTTTAAAATAAATAAAAGCCATATTTAATTATTTTTTTAGAATAATTTTACACATCTCACTGCACAAACTGTAAGAAAATGTAAAGAAAACAACATCAACCTCTAACAAACTCTAGTACAGATCTAACTGGTATGTTGGAAAAAAACAGGATGCCACAAACTTTACTTACCTGACAAAAACCACTATGTCACTGATAACTTTATAATTGACATTCTGAAAGTATCAAACACTGTCTTTATTAGTGTTTTTCGACCATCAGTTTAAAAAATATTTCAGCATTTTCACAAAATTGGAAAAAATTTGTATTGAATTCAAGCAAAACAGTAAGATTTAGAAAGTTCTTTTGATTTCAATAGTCAAAACTAAAGGTGAAAATTTTGTAGTATCCATCTTGATAAGGGAGACTCGGCAAGTATATTGTCATTTTTTATTTCACATTAATAAACAGACTATTGCAAACCAGTTAATATATACTTACAGTTCTGCGACCAAACTTGTCCCCCATGGCTCCCCAGATTGGTGCTGTTATACCCATACCAATGAACACAACCTGCAAAGTAATGGTCAAAAATTAAAAATACTTTGAAATCGTGAAGCGTAATCATGACAGGGGGACCTGAACAGAATGTTTTCAGCCTTGAAAAGGTTGATATCTTATAGCAATTGTCATTGCTTTTGAATGCAGGACAGTCTTATTATATATTTAGAACTTGTCTTTGTGCTTCTAGGCTATTCGATAGTATTTAACAGAAGCAGAAATAAGAAGTCGAATATTAATTAGACCAAGTCACCAGGATATCTGATCTAGGAAACTGTTGGATGGAATCAACTTTGACTTTAAATAAGAAAAACTGAATTTTCAAATAAAACAAAAATCGCATGCAATATTACAAAATCGCATGCAATATTTTTTTCTACATTTGATCAGATGTAAGGATATTAATCATAAGCTGAAATCAAAATGTTTATATTAAGGTATTTCTTCTAAAATAAGACCATGCCTATAGTAAGTAGCCAACTCTTTCATTTCTAAGGCCTCAACTTCATGTCATAAAATAGTCTAAATCCTTGCAATATGCCTATCCCAAACCTTTGATCCCAGATGTGAAATCAGTGGACTGCATTACTTGATTTCAGGATTATGACAGAAAATTGAAATCAATTAAAACCAACATTATGAATAGAATGGATTAATTTATCAGATCTATACAATTAAGATGATGGATATCAATATAAGAAGAAGATTGATGAAATGGTTACCGTGGTGATGAGAGCAACTTGATATTTTTCAAGTTGCCACTCACATCGTAGGACAGGTGACAACACAGCCAGTAACATCATCTCCATGGCATCAGCTGCCTAGCAACAGAAATTGGTTATATTTATGATGTTATCGTTTAACATAAGAATCAACATCACAAGTAAATGCACATTCCTTACTTTCCTATATTTAAAGACCATCATTCATTAAACCATTCTTATTATCAGACATGAAATCTATGCTCAAACCAGCTTTTTTATGACTTATATAAGTTGTAATCATGCAACATAGACATGAAATAAGACATAGAAAACTGTATTCGGCTCCATTTCTTTCCAAAACCCTTAAATCCAAAAGTCATATTGAAAAGATTTTTGTTTAGACTTGACTAAATACTGGATTTGATTATGAGCATGAAATCATGTCATGAATTCAGGACTTGGAATCAGTTATCTTTATTGGCTTAATCACAATTTCACATTATTTTAAACTGTGATATTTTCATAAATATAGTCTCAAAATAGCATACATTTGTCCTGAGATTTAGAATGATCACATTTATGTATATAACACAACAATCCTCCTTACAATAAAATAAAATGCCATTATAAAGATCATATTTATTAATTATTTCTATTTGTAATGGTGACTTTATCCATAAAGATAATATTTGAAGACGAACAGGAATAAATTTGTATAAGTTTAAAATACACAGAAGATTTGAGAACCACTCTGGTTGCATTAAGTAAATATGAAATGTCAGAAACAGTCAACAATAAACTCACTGTGAACAATCCACAGATTACGAAGAGTTTCAGCTGAAAAGGTCCCAAGCCAAGAGAGTCGATAGCCTCCTGAACAGTGAATGTCTTCCCCTTGTAGTCATCCTCAAGGTCATTTCCAGCTTCTCGCCGAATCAAAGACACCCCTTCCAAGTCTGTAATACGACAGAATGTTTACCGCCCTATGGCTTTCACAGACTTACCCTATATACTCAAAGTCACAAATTCTAGAGATGTAAAAGGTGCTAGCTAGGGAGCTGCTCTGCTGGAATACTTCTTTTCCCTTTTGACATACATACATACTTTTATAAATGTATCTATGGTATACCCGAAAATCTTGATAATATTATCGGATTCGTAAAAAGTCTGGCCTTTCAAGTAACCCTTTTATTCCTTGCTGTCAAAATCTATTACAGAAACCCTACCCTAGTAGTTTGAAAAAAGGCTGTCCTTAAAACCAGGATTTGTATTTTAGCTCAAAACAATTTTCCCTCCCTTCTTGCCATGAGTTGATTTCTTTTGTATGGTCAAACACCAGGCTATCCCAATTACTAGAATCTAAAGTTGTATACTTATATTTTCGAGTGTTTCTAATATTTATCTCTATATATACTGGTAGTTTTCCGTTAAGTCTCAGACACTACCATTGTAGGGATCTCACTTCCTGCCATGAAAATAAGCTGTGCATAGCTAATATTGCCTAAATGGCTTTGAAAATATGTTGTACATAGCTAATATTGCCTAAATGGCTTTGAAAACTAACCCAGGATTCCTTACTAAAATCGGAAATAAGCCATGGCTTATTATTAAGATTCTACAGTAATTCTTACCATATATAATGTACAAACAACTTTTTAAAGCAAACTTACTTATTAAGTATGTATATGAACTGCCAAAAAAAAATGAATGCCATGAATATAACCCTGATTGTAACCTCAATATTGCTATGAAAGTCCAGGAAGTTGGACCTTGTTGGTGAGTTTTAATATCATGAATCATCATTAGTGAAAATGCAGTGTTGGGTAGGGTTCTAAATAGATGGGACATTATATTTTTGATCTTCTACATATGGCTGTCCATTACGTACTGTCCCAATTGGATCAATTTTTTTAAAAATCTCAAAACCCTCACTCAAATCAAACTTTACATAAACATCCTCAGGTGAAAATAAAAAGCAATTTTTTGGACCAAATTTGAAAGCTCACTCCATATTTTTACCTAGTTTGTGTCTTTTAAGAAGGAATACCTGCAGATAATGTTTTATATGTGACGAATAGTTTTATACTTTAACTTGTCAGGATCTGCCTATGTGATATTGTTTTTATTTATTAATACTGTATATGTCATTGTATGTATCATGTCCACGTCCATTGTAAATTGTGTATTACAGGACAATATTGTAAATTAGATGTAAATCGAAATATGTAACCCTGTCTAAATAAAAGATATTATTATTATTAAAAGATCTCCCAATTCCTGTAGGTGATTTTTTTAAGTCATAACATTCCATTAACCCTTTCACCCCTATGTAAGTTTAGTAGACTCTACCATGTATTGATCTAAATGAGTCCATTATGGTCTACAGTGGTGAAAGGGTTAAAGGTAATATAAAACCTTTTTAGAGGTATATGTTATTATGCATAAAAAAAGGTAAAATAAATAAAGCAAAGTTACTGATGCATTTCACACACTTGTTTCATTATTTGCGTAAGGTGTGGACTAAGGGAGCTTCTGCGGTTGACACCAATGCTATTAGGTATGTTTGGGTTTTGTATTATGAAATACTTTCTTTGTCATTGTGTTAAATGGGTCACTACATACTGTCGACTCCTGGTATGTTCCGTTAGTTTCCTACATGTATAATGGGACACTCTCTATATCATCGTCTGCTGTTTTGAGTGATTGTTATCTCCTTTGTTGAGTGGAGTTTTCTATACATTGGGTAGCCATCTATATCGTCATCTGTTATCAGACATGAAGCCTTTTAATTTATGACACCATAAACCATATTAAATTGTAATACAAAAAATATGTATTGCTATGAGACAGGAATTTCCGGTGTTCTATTTTGTTGATAATTTCTAGCTATTTGGCCCGTTTGATGAGAACATCAACTAATTCTTTAATAACTGTTGAACTACAGGCATACATAATCAAAATACCTCTCCCATACTGACACAGGATTGTAATTGATCTGGGGACAAACAATTTACGTTCTCAGCCTGGACGAATGAAAGGCACTGACTTGCCTTCTACATTAATGTGTTTGGACATAGATTATCTACCACAAACACTGTCATACATACAGCTAAAATCACAATAGCAAAACCACTGACACAATGTAACCCAACTTCAATTGACAGTTACAATAATGTTGCCCATTCATAACAAAACATACACATGCAATTTATATCAACTTTTTGAAAATAACAGTTTGTTTTACCTCCATCAATTTCATCCGATTCATCCTCGAGGTCGGAGACTCTGACCTTGGAGTATCTGACAGCGTGTGATCTATTTCCCCTTCTATGGTTGTCATAGTAATTTTCCGAGTCTGATAACAATGTCTCCATGGAAACAAAGACTCAAACTTGCACACAGCAAGTTTAGTACCTTTAACCCGACTGTGTTACATGCTCTGCCTTATCAGTAATTGTCTTCTTGCTGCAATGAAAAAAATATGGAGTTACATTGTGATAGTTTAAACACAATACTTTAACGTATACTGTAGTCTTACCACCGCTTCAGAAGAGGCGGCAGAACATCAGGCTCGCCTATCTATACAAAGTCGTTGAGGGGTCAATGCCAGCACTACCCCCATCTCAGAACTTGAAACCGAGGAGACAAGGCCGCAACATCAGTGTTACAAACTATAAAGACTTCAGCACAATCAACGTCGTCGACAGGTTTGTGTGTAACAATGCAACAGTAGAGGATTCCAACCACCACCATATAAAATAGACCAATACAGAGAATCCTTCTTTATACGTACTGTAATAGACTGGAACCATCTACCAGACACCATAATCAAATGCAGTAGTTTTGAGGACTTTAAAACAGCCCTCGAATCGCGCGACTAAGAACTATTAGCGCTCTCTTTCACCCGCTGTAACACACCAGTTTTGGTTACTTCAGCGTATCCCTACAGATACAGATACAGTATGCTACCATGCACACAATATATTATATTATATATAGGTACATAAACAATTTTGTGGGTAGAAATCTTAATTGGTGGGTGAAGATCGGTTGAGTTCAATCCTGAAGTCATTGTAGCATGGAATTGCCAGAGAAATCTTATTTCTGTTTTTGCCTATATAGCTACATGACTTATATAACCAAGTTCGGGTTTAAAATGGTCTGTGGCGAGACCTGCAGTGTATTGAGTTAACTGATGGATGCAGGCAAACTTGCCTCTATGTCCATATCTAATTTAAAACTTGAAATTGATTCACATCTCTTTAAAAAATCTCAAATCCTTACTTTAATTACAGTATGTGTACAATAACTTATTATTATATAGTAGGCATTAAGTTTTTACTATTCAAGTAAAGTGACAATATTGAATAAAGATCTGTCATTGGAAGTACAGTCCCACCACAAAACAGAACACCAACTACACCTCAGGCACAAAAGCAGACCTACACACATGTGGAGGTATAAGCCAGGAGGCTCAGGACCAGTATTCTGTGTCATTTTCATATGTATTATCAGTTAAATAACAAAGGTCATAGTATGCACAATTAGTAACATATCTTACAGGTTTTTTAAGTGTGGAATTATTTTGGAAAGGAGAAGTTGAGGAAAATCTGAAGCAATGTAAATAAATTAATCTGAAAGTTTAGTAAAACTCGTTAAATCAATTGGAAATCATGAAGTTCAGGAAATTATAAAGCAATATTCAATTAATGGGAATTGCAACAGTTGAGTAAAAATGTCCAATTAAAATGGTCTTTCACATGTACAACTACCTACATGTATATCTATATTACTATAATGGAGAAAAGAAAAAAACTTTTTAGTTAGATCAAATTTAGCCCAGCACTTTTTTAGAGGACAACATTGTGAATGGTTAACAATAGAATTATGACATTTACATCCACCCATCGGGGCCATGTGCGCAAAATTTCATTTAGATGTACTGTGATCAATTTGACATTTAAATTCAGACTTATAAGTTTAGATTGGTTCGTGATCCTAGGCATGGTGAGCTAATTATAGAAGGTATGTACAATCACTCAAAAGTTTTAACTTAGGCCAAACAAAAGCTGAAATTTGTTTTCTGTTACTGATAAATGTCTGAAAAATTTAGATTATATAGGTGATTTTTTTTAAGTTAATTTCTCAAATAAGTGGGGGGTTTTAAATTGACAAAAAATGTTTATGGTATGCACAAAACATTAGAGTAGATATGGTAACTGCAAACAAACAATAATTTGTTTTATCTGGCCTTAATGCCATAGGCAGATGTTTAATTATGAACACTTTCAGTGATGATCACTATCCCAATTCACTGAAGACGAATATTTATACATGTCAGCGGTATACAAACTAGATGAGTCAGGTTAGTGTACAGAAACCTTTCAACTCTCCTTTTATATAAAGCAGGGCACTTCAATACCCCTGAACTAGAGTACAGGTTAGGCTTCAATACCCCTGAACTAGAGTACAGGTTGGGCCTCAATACCCCTGAACTAGAGTACAGGTTATGCTTCAATTCACCTGAACTAGAGTACAGGTTAGGCTTCAATATCCCTGAACTAGAGTACAGGTTAGGCTTCAATACTCCTGAACTAGAGTACAGGTTAGGCTTCAATACCCCTGAACTAGAGTACAGGTAAGGCTTCAATACCCCTGAACTAGAATACAGGTAAGGCTTCAATACCCCTGAACTAGAGTACAGGTTAGGCTTCAATAACCCTTAACTAGAGTACAGGTAAGGCTTCAACACCCCTGAACTAGAATACAGGTAAGGATTCAATACCCCTGAACTAGAGTACAGGCTAGGCTTCAATACCCCTGAACTAGAGAACAGGTTTGGCTTCAATACCCCTGAACTAGAGTACAGGTTAGGCTTCAATACCCCTGAACTAGAGTACAGGTTAGGCTTCAATTCACCTGAACTAGAGTGTTTCAGGAAATCTTAATTGCTTTTTCATTATCTGAAATGTACATAAGAATTTGAAGACATGTAACAGGTTATATGTAAGTGCATACTACCAGCCAGAGGGTATTTCAGGCAAGAAGCTTAAGGTAGACCTAGTGACAATTATATCTATCCCAAGACATACAATACAATATCAATCAATTTGTATTAGTCTTGATTGATTAATGTCTTCGACGTACAATTACAATTACATTCAATCCTTTGTTGATGAACTTACCTGGCACTTAGAAAATCATGTCAAGGACCATTTATGAAATGAACTTTTCACAAGCAATGAAAGAAGAAGCCCCATGATTGGCAAAACAGCACATTTCATTTGTTCAGACCTTTTCTTTATCCCTATGTTTTTGTACAGAACCAATGTCTCTGGATGATTTATTTTCAACTGTACTCCGAGTCGACGTAGTCCCTGCTCTCTGTGGTATACATATAACACAGAGTACTACATGTAATAGGTCAACTCACAGTCCAGTCAAAAATGGATAATCCAGAGACATTGGTTCTGTAATATTATAATGCTAATCCAATGCTATGTATACTAAATATGGAACTGCTTCATTTCAACAAATTGTATTCATGATGGTGTATGAATTAGATCAACCAACAGGTTATGCGTATATATATATATAAATATCAGTTCTCTCCTGCATGCATTTGTATAAATCAGCATATAAATATATTATAATTTACAGTGAAATGAAAAATTGAACAAAAAAGACATAACTTATATATACAAAATAAATATCAATGTGCAAGTCATATGGTAAAGGGGAGATAACTCAACTCCTTATGAAAGTTAAACTGTGTTACTTTCTGACCTCACCAGAGTAATGAGTGAGTTTTAGACATCTTCCTTCACTAGATCCTCCATGGGAGTTCAAAATCCACACAGAGTGACTCATAGATAGTTAAATATTAGGCTTATATACATTAAATATTATGAATAATTTATGTCAATAATTTGTATGGTATATTAATATTCACGTTATAATACATTAAGAAAATAATTATACAACTACTTGTTATTAGTTACAAAATACAAGTCTGTGTATGTAAACTGTGTATCATAACAAACAGTTTTGTCATGTAACAGATGGCTATATGATATTGTGGACAGTAATAATGCTTGTGATGTATCATTGTAGTACCTCTAAACTTAAATCTCTCCCTAAACCAGCTGTTTCAAGTATTCTATTATCATCAATATGTGACGTACTGGCCACTGCACATTTTTAAACACAAAGATGAGAAAATTTAGATATATGTATTTGTACATTTCAACATATTTCTCAAAAATCATAATTTTAAAAATTTGTTTCAATGACTATTTTAAGCTAAACTTGTCAAGTTTTGAAACACTGGGCCCATATGACAGGAAATCCAATATGAATAGAAACTACATTTCAGGTTTGGTTTGTTCGTGTTTTACGTCCTTTTAACAGCAAAATGGTCATGTAAGAACGAGACAGGCATATTTATCCATCCCTACCCCCCCACCCCAAGGGCCAGGAGTTGAAGAGAAGTTGTGTAATGACTATAACATAACTGTAAATGTTTCTACATGCCCCCAAACGTCATTGTTGCCAGTTATTGAAAATTATTGTGGCATAATTTCCTGGCGCTGTGGTTGGGGATTTTGTGGACTAGAGATGGATAAATATTGCCCTGTATTAAATGCCCTGTTCAAATTCTGACTCAATTGGATTAACAATATAAAAATAAAAGATTTTCATAGAGGATACGTTTTATACAAAGGGCGTACATTTTATGCAGGCATAAAAACTGTCCCGATAATTTTTGGTAGGTATGCATGACACCAGAGAAATAACCTCCAACCTACGGCTACTATTTGACCACTGCCCAATGTAGGCCTCAAACCCACGGTCTAGTGGTGAAATAAACAATGTTGGGTTGTTTTGCCCTATTAATCCTGTTCGCCCTGGGTCATTTCCCACTAAATTAAGTTGTTTCGCTCTAAATATATTTTTAGACTGAATTTTTTTTTAGTCATGTTTAGTTGTATATATGGCAAAGAAAGTCTAATCTCAAGCTTTTCTAGGTCTCCTTTAGGTTTTTTTGTCATTGGAACTTGTTAGATTAAATGTTGTACATGGTCGAGTGGGTCTGCAGATACAATGTAGCTACACACCTCATGAAATTCAATGGTTTGTGATATATAAAGGTTTTTTAATCATTTTAAACATTTCGACCATACTTATTTAAAAATATTTATAAATATTAGGGCGAAACAACTTTGGGTGAACTGGATTTAGGGAGAAACGACCTAGATACGAAATTAACACATCTACAATTACACTGTTACAATTCATATTGCTAAGGAAGGCTTCAGGTGCTGTTCATTGTAGAAGTACCATACAGTTATCTTCAAGACTGAGAAAAACATTCTGCATTTCTTCTCAATTGTGCTTTCAGAGGTTTTTCTGTGGCCATTTTTTTCGACCAAAATTTGCATTCAGGAGTGTTTAGAACAATGTTTATTTATTTTAACTAAAACCCTTACTAATGTGATGAATTTGCCTGCACTAAGGTTAACGTTAAACTTGATATCATCAGCTGATAGTGTAATATCACCATATAAAATGAAAAAAAAAAAATCTTGCATAAATATCAAATGATTGCACTGTTCTTCCAGTCGTTGTAATTTAAGGCTTCGACTTGTGAGTCTGTCCTATATCTTGTTGTCGTCGATACTTTATGGTATGCGCATATTTATATTTGTTGGTGACAAGTTTTTAAAATTAAAAGTTCACACTAACGCTTTAAGTGTGTTGATTTAAAAATTAAAGTTCTGTATAATTAAAATTCCTGATACATAGTTGCAGATGTGTAGAGGTAGCGAAACAAATTCACTAACCTAACAGCAACGTTTAAACTGGGGGTTTGCAAATTATCTTAAAATTCATTTTCTCCAAGGGGCATTTGAGGATAGCAAATTAGTAATTTACTACCCTTCCATTGTCCGTTTATAGCCACTATGTACACTATGGAAAGCGACACACATTCTGGAATTCAAGAAGTCTCAGAAGTTCTATTTGAATGTGTTTCGGTCATGCACGTCTCATACTTCTCTATGGGTAGCTAAACCGGTTTGCTAACCCACAACTCAAACTAGTGATTTGCCGGTTATCAATATCATAAGTTCCATTAAGACCCCCAATAACAACTATTTTTGCATTTGTTAAAATTAGCGATACAGTATCACTAAATTATAACGTATGCGTACCTATGAGTTATTTGTGTTTCTGGAGCTAATAACAATCAGGTGTGAATTTATATAAAAAAAAATCTGCAGATGTCGTTATCACTGAAACAAAATCATTATTTGGTTATCGCAGTTTGTTATCGGAGCTACAATCGTGAGTGATTTGACCCGTTAGTTACAACTTTGTCCACAACATGTAAAAGTTAGTGAAGTTATAACAGGGTCCACAAGTCCTTGTAAACAGACGTTAAAAGCAATTAGAATGAAAAGTAGACAGCAATTAACGTAAAACAGTCCTAACATATATATATTCCTTATACGCAATTGTTTGTGACTGGGAGTGCATACACGTATCTATGTTCATCTTGACAGACATCTGAACATGCCGGTCGGTTTGACAGGAAGACTGCTAGCTTTAAAGTAAATAACATAATTGAAAAGACAGCATTTGACTTCCTTCTGTTTTGATAAAGCATAAAAAATAACGCAGATAAATGGAACTCAGTGACTTATATAATGCTCAGACTGTATGTAGTGTAGCCCACCTGTTAGTTTACCTGTTGTTTATCCACGTCGAATCGAAAATTAAACACCGGAAGTGATGCGGATTATAGGGAGCATACCACCAAATACATTACAATCTATAATAATAATAATAATAATATATATTCAGGTAAAATAGGCATGTTATTTAAGGATTAACTTATTACAAGATATCACAATTTAGAATAAAATATATAATTAAAATCACATTGCAGCTTGTAAATAAAAAAAGAGTATTTTGTATTAAGACTGAGAATAATAGATCTGACCTAATAAAAGTTTTTTTTTAATTCAATCATTCAGAGACGTATAATACACGTCTCTGAATCATTGACATATATCACAGAATATAAAAATCTAAAAAAAAGTCTGAAACACTGTAAAAAAAGGCAGATATTAATATAAAATGAGTCAAAATGAGACAGACTATTTTAGTAAATGAAGGTATTTATAAATTAATAGATCGCATAATAGGAGTGGTGGTGATTGCCATTTACTTAGGATTACCCATAAAAGCCACAAAGTGGCTGATTTCCAATGGGGTCCTTTAAAAATGGAAGAAGAAAAAAATGAAGAAAATCAATCGGGTAACGGTTCAGATAGCACAGAATAGGATATGTGTGTATGTATAATATATGTATAACACTACAAAGAAATGAACACGCTGTTTCTGATTAATATTTATCTCGTGACGTTTAAGAAACGTGAAGCTGTTATATGTTCTCATATGTGACCTAACTCAAACGATTTCATACTATGTCATAGTGAAGTTAAGAGAGTAACTCTCATGGAAGCTGGTACAAAGACAAACCAGATATAGGTCACACTCTAACGTTAGGTCCATATATAGCGTTAAATAACTTTGTGGGTTGGGATGCAATGAGAAACACGCTTAAAGATTTCTTTCCATGAAATTTCGTCAAATGGAGTTCTTATAATATAAAAGGGGTTTGGCAATCATAGAGTAAAAGTGGAAAATTAATTTTGCATTGCGAACATTTTGTTATAATTTCTCAAAAGAGTAACAAGTATAGGACAATAAACCGAAAGGGTACACCCGTTTTGAAAACAGAAGTGTCCATTCCCAACAGGTCATTGCAGTTACACAGATACATGATCCAGTACTTCTTCAAAACAAAATGCTTTTCTTCTTCATATGTTTACCGTAATCGCGATTTCAATGTAGACGGTGTCATAAAAACAGACATTTCTGCGACAAATGCTAACACGTTTTTCTGATCGTATATGAAAATAAACATTTTGTCTCGAACGAAAATCATTCAAAACCAATTATTCAAAAACATTATTTATTTCATTCTTTGAACCTCAAACTTTTGAACAGTATTCATGGGTTAGTTTAGAAAAGTATTTTTCATCGACTAATGCATATCTACAGCACAACACATTCGTTCTTTAGCCACACTACAAAGATACTACCTCGCCTGTATCTCTTTAAAATCGAGTATCATATTGTAACGTTTATGTTACCTTATCAGCCAGAAATACAAATCAAATCTTACAGTATATTCAATTGAATTGATATGTTATTTGTACTTATTTTGATTAACTACTATTCATTTTATCTATATGTGAGAAGAAATAAATCATTATGATATATTGCATTAAAGCAAGGATATAATTTGTTCTTGAAACGTATCTGTTCACACAATTTGAACAAACTTTTATTTTGAAAACAACTTCACAAAAGCTCCAGACTTAACTAAACATCGATGCGGCTTTATCGCGATCGTATACTGCCAAAAGTGTGTACGCTAGCGTACATGTAACTTTTTCAACAGTTACTCCCATTCAAAACTTTAAACATATACGTTACCATTCCCAACAGATACATTACACATTATATTGGTCAAGTGTTACACTCATGCTACTTAACATTATCACTAAAACAAACTTTAAACCGTTGTGATGATCACTTGTGATCAAATATATGAACCTATCTCATATGTTCACATAACAAAGTCGATTTTATTTACGAAAATAATGCGCCAAAACAGAAACGTGACCAAAATGAACATATGTTTTCCAAGTGACGTGACCCTTTAAATCACATATCCCATGCTTTTCTTTCATAGCTTTTCACTAATTAATCATTATCATATATGCATTCAAGCCTCTGGATTTCCTAAGATTTGAAGATATTCCCCTTGGAAAGTAAGCCAGCTGATGCAAGTACAGTTTGTAAAAGGTCTAACTACATATTGTTCCCATCAAAATCTCACGAAACCAAACCAGGGTCTAGAGTATCTTTGTTATAAGCAATGATTATAGAACCATTTACAACGTATCTGTTTATAACGTAACGTATCTGTTTATAACGTCTCTGGTAGGCAAAAGTTTTTACGTCAGCAAAATTAAATTCGCTCAGTATTCACTTTAAATTTACACATTGTACAACAATGTCATAGTCCAGTTTTATTTTGTGAGCTATACAAAATTCCCACGACAATGAGTACAGTTTTATCAGACAAATACAGGTCACGCTTCTGTTGAAGTTTTAACGGACTACCCACGAATACTGTGTGTCATGCGGGATACTTGATATATGCTAACGTAATTAATATGTCGATGGATTTATATGAGATATAAGACACCTTTAGTCAATATACCAAGATGTTTTAAACTTGTATTCACCGATAATAAATGCCTGTATTACGGGTGTTTTGTTTAATAACGTACGTGGAAAAACATTTTACGACAGTAGTTAATTGTCAAAAAATCATATTTTAGCTTAAATTATTGATATTGAATTAATCAAGTTTGTGTTTAGACATAAGTAAACTTAAACTATGAAGGGAAAAAAATGAATTTTAACTAAACTGAAAAATTGCAAAGCTTTTGGTATCAGAGTAAGTGACGCGACAACGATTATTCGAGTATATTTGCAAGGTATGGTCAACCTCTATGGACATTTAACGTTAGCGCCGGCCCCCGCTTGGAATTTCACAACAAGATAAATCCAAAAAGGTATGGGTATAGGAAGCTTTAACCAGGAACCGTTAGTTTCAGATTCGTTTTAGGATAAATGGGACCTCATTGACTTACACCTGTGTGTGTTAAAGGTGCGGTAATACAATTCCCCTAGAGCATTTAAATGACACAATCACTATAAAATTATATCATCATTGTATGTACCATATTCCAACTATTATTTTGATAACAAATATTACACTATTTCAAGAAAGAATTGTTCTTTTTATTGAAGATTTAAGCAGAAAAGTATGTGAAATTTCATTACTAATGAGAATATTTCTATTTTCGACACGTTAAATTACATAGTTCTAAAACGAGTTTATTTTTCATACCTGCTTAAAAGTTGGCTACCAATAATATCTTTCAACATCAGGAATTTCAAGAAAATTGACAGCTGGTAAAGTCATATAACACGTTTGATTCAAAAAAAGAAAAGCCTAACGTTCTTTCCACTTTTCCGTTAACCTTGTTTCTTCATGACCAAATGTGTTTGGGTCTTGATATTTGGCAAACAGGTTGTTCATAACGTTGATGACCTTGACCTTCGTTCAAGGTCACACAAATCAAATGTGCTGAAATATATTTTTTGTATGGGGAGTCAGACAAGGATACCTTTCCTCGATACTTCCATACCAAATCGTGTTAGCCCACTAGATGAACCAGTTTTGCTGAAGTCGCCCTAGTAATAAGGAAGAGTTGTGAAGACAAAAATTTCTAACAAAGAGCCATAACTGTTTAAAAGGGGTCGAAATGAGAAAAGTACTACCCTGATGCACGACATCAGGAGGTAATTACCATATCTGTAAACATTCATTGAAATAGGCCCAGTAATTTATGAGGCAGACAAAGGTTCTTCTTCTACAAAGGGCCATAACTTCTCTTTAAAGGTTCGGAATGAAAACATACTATTTGGATGCACACTGTCAGGGGGCAGTTACCATATCTGTAAACTTTCGTTGTGTTCCATAGTTTTGGAGGAGTTGTCAGGACAAGTCTTTGTTTAACAAAGGGCCATTACTCCGTAAAAAGGGTCATATTGAAAAAATGATACCTCGATGCACACCATCAGGTGGAGGTTAAATTATTGTATTATGTCTGAAAACTTTCGTTGAAATTGACCCCTTAGTTTTGGAGGACATGTCTGAACAAGAGGGCCATAACTTTGCTAAAAAAAAAGGATCAGAATGAAAACATAATAGCTGGATGCATAACTTGAGGTGGTAGTTAACATATCTGGAAACTTTCGCTGAAATTGGTCCATTACTTTAGAAGGAGTTGTCCGGACAATCTTTTTCTACGAACAGACAGACGGACGGAGGACAGGCAAGCTGATTCCAGTATACCCCATAACTTTGTTGCAGGTGGTATAATAAAGTGTATAATAGTTTTAATATTAAGATTATTTTATTGTTTTTATATAATTGCATATCTTTATCTATAACACAATCTCAGCCTTAAGTAGTTCTCCAGAGGAAAGATTACTTTGGCAGAATACATATTCATGAGTTATAACTGCGGCACATAATTATAACTTAAAAACATGCGTTAGATAATAAAGTGTTTGGTATAGTTAAAAGTATCACTACGCTTACTTCATATATACCAATATGACATATTTAGTACCAAAATAACAGTAATTTTATACATTGTACACTATCATAATTCATTTTCAAAATAACATTCGCCTGTGACATTTATCTGTCATTTTGTTAGGATATCACCGCCACTCAACCTGGTGTTATACAAGGAGGTCTACTACGGTTATCAGTAGCAATTATGAACAATCATTTATGCAGTTATTGATCATTTTTATGTTTTTTCATATGACAAAAGAATAAAAAAATCAAAATGGGGGCCAAATGTTGACCCCGCCTTTTACCGTACGTTTTAAATAAATAAAAAAAGTTTTCTTTTTGGGGAACATATCAATGTTGAAACAGTGAACTACAGTTTTGACGCCATATCATAGACGGTGGAAGGATCATGCGACATGATTTTCGGTTAATGGCGCATGATAAGTGAGAATGGGCGATCAGGACTTAGCAAATGACC